CCCACAAAACTCTCATGTACTTTTGGAAGACGATTTACACATATGCGCCCTGTAGCTAAATGTAGTGTGAAGGGGAAGATATGTTTTCCTTCCCTGGCTCCTGTCTTCTCTCTCTGCTTCCTGGCTGCCATGATGTAAGCAGATGTCTTCCATCCAGGCCCCTCTACCGTGCCGTCCCTGGCCTGGAGGTAGTCAACTGTAGATTATGTCCTCTAAAAGCCATGAGTCAAAATAAACCTATCCTCCTTTCATTTGTGGATGGTAGGTATTATGTCTCAGTGGCAAGAATGTGACTAAGGCCACAGTACAGATATAAATCAAAAGGCTTTATTGAATGTCCTACTATATGCTAGGCATGGAATCATACAAATAAGAACCATGCAAAATCTCTGCAATTCACAGACCAAAAGTACACAATTATAGAATGATGTCATCTCTACTAGGAAAGTAAAATGATAGCTATGGCAGTGAAGCACTGTACAATCATACAAAGAGAGAGCACCAACATATTCTTCAAATGTTAACATGGGAAGTAACCCAGAGTTGGCAACACCTGAACACAGTGTTTAATTAGATGCCTGTAGGTTCCATAACAAAGTGCCACTTAAAATAACAAATATTTATTTAGTATCAATTCTGGAGGTTAGAAGTATCAGTCAAGATATTGGTAGGGCTATTCTCCACTGAGGGTTCTAGGAAGTATGCAGTGGAGAATGTCTTGCCTCTTCCCCACTTCCAGTGGCTGCTGGGAATCATTGGTGTTCATTGACTTAGCCTCATCACTCTGATCTCTGCCTCTGTTGTCACACAGAGGTCTCTATTTCTGTCTCCAAATCTTCCTGTCTGTGTAAAGACTCCAGGTATTAGATTTAGGGGCTACCTTAATCCAGCATAACCTCATCTTAACTTGATCACATCTAAAAATACTGTATTTCTATAAAGAAAGATACACTTGAGGCTTTTACAGGTAAATGGTCACAACTAGAGACCATACTCATAAGTGAAATAAATCAGACCTCCATGTGTAAGCAACATATTGTCTCACTAGTGTAGGAACCTGAATGAGTGAATAAAAACTAGGAGGTATGATAGACATTGTGAAATGAAAGGAAACTGCTCAAAAGTAAAGAGCAACTGGGGTGAGGGAAAAGAGAAAAGAAAGAAGGGGAAATTATGCATGTATGTATATACAGGACGGCTAACATAGTTGTACTGCTGACTTCTATTGCTTACTGAAAGTAACAGTTAATGATTACTTGTTTGATCAGTCTCACATGTCTCTATTTGTTTTCCTGAGAAACCACTTTGACAAAATCAATCTGTAATACAACAACCATTGTTAATTTCCTACCACTTTGTCTGTAATTCAGTATTGCTTATATTGTTCTTATGCCATTTTGTAAATGGATATTTGTGTGTTAATATGTTTTCATTCTTTTATTTTTAAAATAAATTTAAAAAAAGAAAAAAATAAAAATACTGTATTTTCCAATAAAGTTACTGGGTGGCTGCCCAGTCTTTTTGGTCACACAGCATCGCCTCTCCATCATTGTGTGGAAATATTAATTCACTCAGGAGAGCAGTTTCTAGTTAACTTAGAAGAACTTTCTTCCTTGTTAGAATGAGAAATGACTTCAAGAACCAAAACTGATGACCTTGGAGTAAATTATCAGTCTAGTTTATACCTTCCTTAAATGAACCTTACAAGATTAATTGCTACCTTGAATGTTGCTATGCTGAAGTGTATTCACTTTAGCCTTCTAGAAATATGACATGAGTCATGTCCTACAAATTGAAACCTAAAAGGAAAGAGTGAAGTGGTAAATGTAGAGCATCTAAAAGAAAAGTAATTGGTAAAAAAAAAAATCTCTGCATGGTTATGGAGGTTGCTCACCTGAGACAAGAACGTTTTGACAACACGAAGGACAAATTGAGTTTGAGCTCATAGAGTTGGCTATCTTCTGCCTCAAAACTGCAGCACAATGACTAAAGCAAATTGTGCTTAAAATCTATCCGCCAAAACTATATTTTATGCTGAGAAGTCAATGTGATTAAATGGTCGTCCTGTGGAGAAGAGTTCAGGTACAAAATATCTCTTAATTTGTGGCATATTGTCCACTTTAAGATTCTGTTTTTTCTTCTTAAACATTGTTCTCTGATTTGCAGGTGTGAAAGCCCAGTATGTTTCATTACAGACTGGATCTGTGCGGAAATCAGGATAAATTGGGCTGCATGCACTTAAGCATTTTCTTCATGCCTCTGTCACTTTGCTCTGTCAGTTCAGTCCTCAAATACTTGGATCTGTTCCTAATCCCTGCAGGGCAGCATGTAAGAGATAGCATGGGAAGACATATTGGTTGACCTCATAGTGGGTTTTAATCCTTCCTGGCTCCAACCACTGCAGAGATTAAGCTAGATAGATAACTCCAAGTAGCACATACGAGACAGTAGTGTTTATTGAATTTAGGAATGATTTTTCTATAGATACTTGAGACTGTACATACCCTCTACTTCTCTGACCATTCTTGAACACAGACACCTTTCAAATTCCACTCACAGTACTCTGAACTTCTCTAGCCCTGCATGGCTTCTAGGTCTACCCATTCCACAGTCCTGACGACTGTTTCCTTAACTTAGTCCTCCACAGCTAAAACAGACATCACAGCTGATTTCTCAAGAACTTTTAGATTACAAGAGGCTTAACTCAGAGAGAATTTGTGACTTTGGTTTAAGATAAAATTAGATCAGCTTTAGGGCTTGGGGATGGAGATTATGAGCATATGGTTATCCCATTCTGTTCATTTCTGTACTGTTCTTCCATTCTGAATTGATTAGACATAGTGGCCAAGAGCAGAAACTAACCATCTGATGAGAAAGTGTGCAAATGAATTTAATGGTTTTAAGTCCTTCTTTTGAAAAGTACACATTTGGAAGACATTATAATAGAAATGAATGTATATGGAAGACTTGCTATATTTGGGCTGTAGGCTAAATACTTTACTACAATATACTCGCCTGTAATTTGCACAATAACATGGGAAGTTAAGTACTATTATCACTTTCCAGTTTTACAAATTTGGAAGCCAAGGCTCAGAGATTAAATAACTTACCCACAGCCTGGTAAGCATTCTTACACAAGGAGGTAAGTGGTTCTGCACTTACACTAAGTGGTGTTGGGCTCTAATCCAGGAAGTACCATGTATATAGATTCTAATACGCATGTGTTCCTAGAGTTAAACAAGGCACTGCCCCGTCCACAGCAGCAATGAGTAAAATCAGAGCTGGACTTATGTCTGCTTGAACTCAAAATCCAGGCTTATCACCACTAAGCTATATTGGGATAAGCAGTTGGATCTAGAGACATGAGCTGTTCTTTTATCAAACAATTACCAGAATACATGGGAGGTATTATGTTGCTGTTGCAGATATTTGCTGGTTTTTGTGCACAGCATTTAGTGCAAAGAATTCCAGATCTTCTGGAACAGAGCCATTTTAAGCTTAAGGACACACAGTGGCGGAAAATTGTCCCCACTATAAGGTCGAGGCGATTGGCATCTGTATGCAAAAAAAAAAAAAAAAAAAAAAAGTCCATACGTAAATTTGGTTTTATATATTTACAGGACTCATAAAGGTGACATCTTCTTCCCTTGGAGAAGAAAATGGCAGCGTGCATTTTACCCATCACGTATCTTTAAAGCTTATGTTTGTAATAGGAATAAGAAGAAATTAAAATGCAAATCAAGAGGACAATTTAAGTAGCTGTGATAGATCTAACTGAATGACTTTGTATGTTATCACCATGTAAAATAAATGCATATGAAAAAATATGGAAGGGAATACTTAGACCTACAAATGATAATAGTTTCTATTTAGAATATGCGATTTATTTTGTTGTTTATACTTTCTATTGGTTCTATAACATTACTCTCATGTTTATAATTTTTTAAAAATAAAGCAAAGATAATTTTAAAATATATTTTGTATAGAAAAGAAATAAAATTTAATTTTAAGTATTTGTTTAGCTCCTTAATTTTCCTCTGGAAACAAGAAATAAAATCCAATCGGGATTGTTAATTACATAAGCATCCTATATTGCTGTTTAAACAATCTACCTGATGTAATGGCCAGTATTAAACATTGCTGTCTTCATAAACATGTAATAAACCATAAATTATTTTAATTTATGAAATGCAGTAGAACAGTAAGACTATGTTTTCTTTCCTAAGTATCCATCAGGGAAAATATTGATAATTAGTTTGTACATAATTTAAAATTTAATCTTTTAAACTTGTGCATCATTCCACAGTTATTTTTGCTCTGTTACACTATCACTTTGCAAATATTTTACTCTACAGTCACAGCCCATGATGTTCTAGAACTAATTGAATTGCCAAGAAACACACTTCATGTATTAGTCTACTTGAACTGCTATACAAAGCGCCATGAATAGGGTGACTTATAAACAAAACAAACATTTCTCACAGTTTTAGAAGTTAGTTCAAGGTGCTAACACTCTCTTGTGAAGGTCCATTCTTGGTCCACAGCTGGGGTCTTTTCCCTCTGTTCTCACCCAGTGGACGGGGCAAGGCAATTCTCCGGAGTCCCTTTCATAAAGGCATTAATCTCATTCATGAAAGCAGGACTTGCCTCCCAGAAGATCCTACCTCCTAATATTATTGTGAAAGGGTGTTTTGTTTGGATATCAACGTGTGAATATTGGAGGAAATGAAAATTCAGACCATAGCACTTCATGACAAAGTTGACCATTTTTAAGACTCACACCAAAAGACAAAGGAACATTTTCTCTCTTCCTTCCTGATGGTTGTCTTTGATAATGAACGCTTTTGGTTTTGGGTTAGGCAGTCTTGGCAAAATTCATCATGACACTACAAATAAAATGTCAGCTTCTTTCTGTTGTTTCAGTTGCTTTTCATGAAAAGAAAGTGCTATTAAGAATTAAAAGAGCCTACTGAACTAAAATGTTTGTCTTCTGTTTTCAGTGATAAAGTTGGAAAGATCAGAAATCAAGAACATTACACAAGGGGGCAAAACTTCTGGAAAAAGATCAGTGCCATTTTAAGGGCAACAGTCAATATCACTCTTATTTGGATCATCCCAAATTGCAATGAAGGGTGAGGGTAGAGATAATTTAGGACTTAAATTCGGTGGTCTGGATTAGAGATCAGGCTCACTTGCTTTCTAAATCTTACTTAATTCCTCTCTCTGTAGCAAAATTTAGTATCTCAAAAGAAATGAAAGTATTTTGTGAAGCACTATCTGTTCCCTTCCTGCACACTATTATAATATGGAATGGTCTATCTCATTTCACTGTGCTTTTTCTAAGTAGGTTTCCCAGATTGTCTATATTCCTTTCATTCTCCTAGCACTTTGATACCTGGCTTTCTGTCTGCTTGGTTTTGGCATCTAGCTAGCACCCCCTCTTTCTCATCTACAGCATTAACTCCCCCCTTTGCTGTTAGCTGTGAGTATAGTTTAGAAGTCTATGCTAGTCTCAATAGACTTTTTTTCCAGGCTCACACCTGGCCCTATAAATCCCTTCTTTCCTACTTGCAGTCATGCTAATCCCAACAAGAGAGATACACACGTATATTACCAAGGTGGGAAATTCAAGAAGCTCACATTTATAGAAAGAAAAGACAGAAAAAAATCTAAGCACAGGTAGGTTAGGTAGGTTATGTTGAATTAGAGATTCTCATGGGACACATAAACAGATATAATTATAAGGCCATTGGAGCTGGAAATATGTGTAGAAAAATCAAACCCTGTTAGTGAGATGTGAAACCCTGAGTGTGGCTGAGATTGCCCAGGAAGAGTGTCAAATAAGAAAGGGAAAAAAGGAAGAGTGTAAGGGACATGTCACATACATAGATTAAGCACCAAAGTGTATTCATTAGATAGATATCACAAGTCACAAATAACTTTGGAAAGAGCAATGTCCAAGGAGAAGTAGGAGGAGATAGGTTGTACTGGCAATCAATCAAGTGGAGGAGGAATGTTCTTTATAGTCATTTGCCTGCTGCTACCTGGGTAATTTATGTGTCACCCAATCACAGTGGTAGAGGAAAAGCGCACAGGAAAACTGCATCTGGTATTTACCGAAAATGGAAGATGGTGGTGACAAACCTCAAGACAGCTTGGAAATCTCTATGGGAGATGTGAAGGAAATTTATAATACCTACATAATTTGTTTAAACTCTACGTCATAGAAAATGTATTGCATGACCAGTGACTTTTGTTTTCACCTATTTGCAAGATTTAAATAACTTGAGTGAATAAAAGCTCAGTGGGATTCTTAATTTTGAATTTCTTATACATAAGGAAATGAGATCCTTTTTCATAGTTTTCACCATAGAATGGTGATGGTATGGTCTGTGTGTACAGGATCGTGTTGGGGCCAGTAGAGACAAAATGGGTAAATATAAATACTTACTAACTCTTTAGAGTCTAGTGAGAATGCTAATAATATGGTGTTCCCAAAGAGGCAAGAGCAAAGATGGTAACACACAACAGAATCTGCCGTATTACTTGCCAATATGTCTGAGTTAGAGGGTTGAATGTATGCGTCTCTGTCTCAGAGTAATCCATTCATGAAAAGACAGGCCCAGTGCTGCCTTTGTATTAAGAAATGGTTTATGGGAGACTGTTTGGGGGTGGGAAGAAATGTGTCTGAAATAAACTCCAGTTGTTCTCACTTGCCCTATATAATGATGTAGTTTTCCTTAGCTCTCTCTCTTAGAAATCATCAAACAATGATGTCAATTCATATTTAACAGTTCAGATGGATTTCCCACAGTTGAGTTTTCTGCTAACTAAACAGGAAAACCTTTGGAGTTTTAGGTAGAAATTGTGTTTCCCATAACAGAAATTATTTCTAAAGGCAAAATAAGTGATTCCTTCTTTTCAAATCCTAGGTATTACATGTTGCAATGCTATATTCAGAAGTTCAGTGAGAAGAAATCGAAGCCTTCCCTATGAGGAAGTTTTTGCAGTGTGCTGCCCAGGTAGGCTGTGTAATTTGTTCTTATTTGCAAAGGACAAAAGAAGGCTCCTAAGTGAGTTGTATAATGGAGGCATCATTAATTGCTATCCTCCCTCAAAGGACTTGAAGTTGGTCCACCGAAACGATTTTTTGTAATTATTGTATGGGGGTCTTAAGATGTTAGAAGGAAGGCTTTCCCACTCAAAGTAAGGCCATACAAGTCTGGGGACATGAAAAAGCATCAGTCATGATAGGTAGCATCTGTGAAAGTGCTGGGTGATGACACATCCAGAATACAAGGAACAATAAGCAAGCTCTCTAGGTATGGTTTGGCCATATGGTAAGAGTGACGGTTGACCCTGAGGATGGTGCTTAGCTTCCCTCCCTTTTATGGATATTTGAATAAGGCCTCTTATACGCACTCTGTGAATATTATACTATACTTAGAATGCATGAGTTCTGGCACAGTTACCCATGAGACCTTCCACCAGCACAGTTTTGTAGTCCTTTCTTCTCTGGGTACTGCAGCTTTCCATTTTTTTCATCCCTTCTGGTGCCAGTCTAAAGAAACATTTAACCTCCTGAACTCCATCAGGGGGAGATGCTCTGCTATTTCCCAACTGTTTTTGAAATACGTTTCCCCCTATCAATATAACTCTTCTTTCTCTGCTTTAAACAAACAAAAATCCTCCTCACCATCAAATTCATTGCTTTAATCAATCAAAAGTCAACTTATCTTTTTGTAGAGGGCAGAGGCAGCTTAAACTTTAAGCTCTTCAAGAGAAATGGAAAAGGAAGAAAAAACAGAACACTGATTGCCATATTAAAGAAGCTTGTCAGTATCCTGCTAAAGTAACAGAGGTTGAACTTTTGTGCTTTATCAAAGTTTAAGCTTATTGAAGCCCAAATAAATAGAGTATTTAGGAAAAAAATATACTTCCCTGAAAAAGCACACCTAAATTGGTTTTGTGCAAGCAAATCTATAGGGAAGCATATAGGCTACAGGTATAGCTTTCACCTTTACAACCCAGGGATAGGCGCTGTGATGGCTTTCTCATTATTGTGGATTTGAGCTAAAGGTTTCTATTTGATTTACTGTGTTGTTCTTTTACACCAGTATGTTAAAATGTTAGATCTAGAGTTCAAAGCCTTAGTACATCTGTTTCATACACTGAGGAAGACAAAGTTTTTTTCAAAGAAGGCTTAAATACTACAGTACTTAAACTAAGCTATGAAATATAAGTGCTAAATGGAAGAGACTTTATCCCGGTGTTCTACCTGTTTTCACGTTGATTCAACAGCGATACTCACCCTTAAGTTTCAGAATAGCAATATGAGATTTTGACAGCGGGAGCAGCCGTGAGCCCCTGTGCACTTTAGGTGTGGGCTGCTGGCACATCTGCCTTTCAATTCACGTTTTGTTTCTGACAGGCATCAGGAAAGAAAGAAATTACACGTTTCCCTTTCATTGTGTCAAAGATTCTTATGGAGTGTTTTCACACTGTTGAGCAGAGAAGAAGGAATAGTACTTTGCAGAACTCAGGGAACTATATTCACTTCTGGAGCACTGCTGCTGTTTGATGTTATTTTGTCTTTTCTACCCCTTTCATCTCCCACCTCCCACCAAAACACTTCTTCCAATATATCTGTTTAATTCAAATATTAATTTATCAAGATTTCCTGGACTATACCCAGAGTTATGTGAAGAAGTAATTTAGGGATCTACTGAGCTGGTCCTAGCAGCTCACTATGGATCAGGGTAACCTAACTAAAATGGTAGTAGTAGAAATGGAGAAATAGAAACAATCAAGGTACAAAATGGGTGAACAGATAAAAATTTTCATTTATTGAGCATTTATTTTGTGTCAGATATATATATGTATATATATATATATATACACATATAGACATATATAATCTACCCTTTAAAAATGAACTTACAAACTTAAGAAATAGGTGTGGTATCTGCATTGTATAAGGTGTGTTACATGAGATATATGTTTAAATCGGTAAACTGAGTAAAGCAGGTTGCCTTATATAATGTATCCAATCTGTTGAAGGCCTTTTATAGATCAAAATGATCACCTTCCCTGAATAAGAAGGGATTCTCGAGAAGATTGTTTTGTGCTTCACCTATGCTGTCCACTCTAATGGATCTACTGGCTGCCTCCTCACAGAGCACTTGTGGATTTCCCAATCTCTGTTAATTTCTTATCGTAATAGTTCTCACCCTCCTTCTGTTTCCACAGTACACACACACACACACACACACACACACACACACACACACACACACACTGTAGTTGTTATATTTCTCTGGAGAACCCTGATTCATACAGCATCTATCTATCTGGATGAAAAAGACCATTGAGAGAGCAATGATTAAGAGAGGATTATGACACTGAGATTGCAAGTCACTAGCCCCAGGAAAACTACTTAATGACCCATTAAAATGTTTAACTTTTGTTCAAATGCTTTTTTTCTGAACATAGGAGATTTCCAGTTTTGAACACAGTTCTCCCCTACAACTAGTTAGGTAATTTATATCCATATTTTTAGGGGAGAGAGAGAGAGAGAGAGAGAGAGAGAGAGAGAGAATTTTGATCAAGAACACCCTTATGATCGAATGGAAGTTGCCTTGAGGACATTGCTGCCCTCGATTCTGCCTAGGGTATCACAGAACGAACTTGACAGCTCCATTCCTTTACTGCAGACACTCTGGGAAAAGGAACATTTTCTTATTTCATAACAGGCTGAATCTACTGGCGGCGACAGCAGGCCGAATGCCTCTAAGAACCTGAGGACTGGTGTTGTGAGGGCCTGGCCAGCTAGGCAACACCAAGCATGGTGAAGAGCAAAAATGTATTTCAGCCTTCTAGCTCAAGTGGCTCCAGCTCTAGGATGATACCAAAGGGACTCCATAAAAGGATATTAAAAGACCGAAAATGTCATGGTGACATTATCTTTTGGAAATACCAGACCATCACTTAAAGTGCTGCATCCCAGTGGTACAGTTTACAAGGCTGGTAGCTGGAATTTGTGGGTTGTCCATGGCAATTCTCAGAACATGCTTTACAGGGAATTTTGTGAGTAAAACTATTCCTCCCCACCACACTGAGCTCAGCAGTAATTATATAAGATTGTGCATTCTACACACATTTTAACACAATTTTTAGTGCTGGCTAATGTCCATAAGTCAAGAGTATGTGACAACTAATTGCATTTTGTTCCAGAAAGAAGTTTTAGAGTGAAAACATGTGCGCCTAAGGCACCATGTTTCCTGTGAAGGATATCATTGATTTTTATAGAACTATAAAGCATACTTGAAGTAGCGAAACTTTTTATTTCTTTTTGGATGCTTTAGAAGAACTTTGTCAATAGTGTAGATGCTCTAACCACAACCAGAGTGTGGAAATGCAGGTATATTGTTGCTAAATTGTATAGTTTAGTTCCAGCAGATTCAGCTTTAGAAATCATCCCATTTTCCTTTGATGCACTTTAAAAGTTAGAGATGACTTCCTAAAGGGGCAAAATCTTGCAATAATCTTGTAACAACAAGGTTGCAGACCTTTAATGAAGCAATGGTCAGCTCGGCACCATGATGCAACTTGAGGCATATTAAATATTCTTTTATTAGATTTTTAGTTCTGATTCAGGAACTCAATTTTTGTTTGTATATTTTTCTGACTTTTTAATCCAGTGTCATTTCTTCTTTCTAGTTCACGTTTTTTCTAATACCACAGATATTTCCCCTATTACTGTGAACCAAGTGTTATATTTCTGTTATTATTTATTTGACACAGATCAACTGGCATATGAACATGAGCTAGATCCTGCTGAACTCTGGAGGAAGGTAGATAAAAAGTACCCTACTCTCCAAGAGGTTTGAGACAATAATGATAGTATGTAACTTCCAATTAATAGTGAAATCTGTACAGCACTACACCGTTTAGAAAACATATTCATATAACTTTTTTAACAACCACTTTCATAGGAAGTAGTAAAATGTTTTCATGCCTTTCAACTCAGAAGTACTGACTTTCCCTGTCCGTGCCCATGTCCTTGATGGAATGTGCCTACTCAACTCTGTGCTCTTTTCCCTGTACTATACCGTGTTCAACACACAGCACAATTTTTGTAAAAAACAAGAATTTATATTGTAGGGTTTCTCAACCACAAGTCATGGCTTTTATTATATAAAATTATAATGGCAAGAAAATGGAATAGATTTTAGTTTTTTTTCTACAATTCATAGTTGTCAAATTCCATAGTGAAACAGAGGTGGAGTGGCACCCCAAGATACAAACCTAATGTAAACATGTGGAAAGGTGAATGACAAGGGCTCTCCTCAATGGAGTGTAGCAAAAAAAGTGTTGAGGAACATTATACGATAACTTCACCTCTACACTCTCAGATATTCAAAAACAAATGATATAAATTAATTGGTCTCTATTTGCTCAATAGAGAGAAAAATGAATTCATCTCTAAAACATCCATTTTTTTGTTTTGTTTTTGTCTTTTTAAGACAAGGTCTTGCTATGCAATTCAGGCTGGCCTTGAGCCCACTTTGTAGCCCAGGCTGACCTCGAACTTGCTGCAATCTTCCTGCCTTAGCCTCCTGAATGCTGGGATTACAGGCCTGCTCCACCACACCCGGCTCAACAGCATCCATTCTCCTTTTCCCCATTTTGTGGCCAAGATGAGTTTAGGAGCCAGTAATCTCCCTACACAGCCTTGCAAAGATGATAGTGTAACCATTAAGAGTGATATGTCTGCTTGATTTGATTAAGAAATGCCTAGGACATTAGTGAAACATGTTTTGGATGTGACCCGTCAGTCATAGAGGTGTGCCCATGGGTACTTTATACAGGCTTCTCTGCGTCCAGGCCATCACGAACTACCCATCTTTGTTCTGACGCCCTTCTGGTATAAGGTTTCTAATTTGGAGTCAGTTGACCATGGACTCAGTATCCTGAAACCGCAAGCCAAATGAAACCTCTCCTCTTTTAGGCTGTGCGTTTGGACATTGTGTGAGTGCAGCAGGAAAGCTGCCCAACACAGATGGGTTCTGGTAGCCTTTTTCAGTCATAGAATAACGTACCAGTGTGACTAATAAAGGATGGTTCAGCTTAACCAAACAGCAGGCTCTTACCTGACTGCTCATGGAGAAAAGCATCTTCTTTTTCCAGTTCCCTTTCTCCAGTCCACAGTTGATGGGAAAAGAAGCAAAAAAAGACATGGGTGTTGAAAGCCATGACAAAAACGTCACAGTAGCCAGCCTCAACCTGAAGTAGAGCATATCTAAGCAAACTGCAAAAATGGGGCCCAGATTCCGGGCTGAACTATGCCAGAAGTCCACCATTTCTATGAAGTTTTGTTCCCATATCAATAAATTGCTCTAATTATTTAAATTACCATTATTGGGTTTTGTTATTTGCAACTACAAGTAGCCCCACTGAAAAAATCCATTGAGAATATGTAGCTAGCAATGAAGAGTGTCAGGGTTGAACACAATTTATAAACTTTAACTCAACTAGGACAAATTAAAACCTTCCTGTACATTCATTTTTAAAGAAACAAATTAAAAAGATATAGAAATTATTTATGGACCTTCAAAAGTACAAATTTCAAGGGGATTGTTAACTAGGTTCAGCTTCCTTAAAAACTAGAAAGATTAGGATAACAAGATCCTAGCCAGGAGGAGGCTTTATTCCTCACCATTAACATACTGAGTCCACTGAAAAATGACTGTTTAGGTCCATCCCAATAGCCTGATCACTGTACAAATTGGTGTTATGAAATGATTGATTTCCTGCCACTTTGGGGATAATATTCTGCCATGGCTATGCATAAACTAATGTCCTTGCACATAATGGTTAGCTTCTATATGAAGTCAGACACTCATTAAGTTAAGAATTGCTATTTTTCTAAAGCTATCAGTATATAAAAAACTTGATCATGGCTAGGGGCTTGATTAAAAAATTCAAGAAATTCACAAAATGTATTCAAGTTTAATATATTGGTGAAGTTGAAAAGATTCTAATGAAGTAATGAAATCTCAATTTAATCCCAAACTGTATTTTCCTTTATAATAAAAGTGCAAGCCATGCCCCTACTGGTGAATTATTGAAAAGTATATTTTGGGGACCAGGGATATAGCTCAGCAGCACAGTACCTGCCTGGCAAGTGCAAAGTTCTGATTTTGCACCTCTGATTCATTCCTGGTACACGACTCCCTTGCAAAAAAAAAAAAGAAAGAAAGAAAATTATATTTTGAAAGTCAAGTCCTATGAGTGACTGAGGGGCTCAATAGGTCATTGTCTATCCAAAATATTTCTCCTGTGAATGAAATATTACTACAAATGATGCAACTGTGAAGAAAGTAAAATTCACAATATTGTGCCCTCTGCCTGCTGATCTATCAACCTCAAAATGGACTTTATTTTTCCACTGCTGCCTCTATGATGTGTTGAATCATAGAGACGCAGCACACAGACAAGCTCTGGAGACTTTATTCTTGATAATCTCTCTAAATGAAAAAAATATCTCTTAAACTGTAGGCTTAAGCAACAATTTTTGTATGTAAATAATTTCCATATGTATGTATAAACCACTTAGTAATTAATTTTAACCATGGTCTAAACTAATGCATCTAACCAACTTAGATCTTACATGTGCAAAAGACAATATTTTCAAATATAATTACATTTTATCTGTTTATAAAAAGTCAGGATTACTGTTGGGTGAAATTTTCAGTGGTTTCCATATAGTATAGATTTGAAATTGACCTTAAATAAGTAAGACTCTTTGGGCCCTTTTTTATCTAAAAGTGAAATGCTTTAAATGATGACAAGTACCATAAATAAATAAATAAATAAATAAATACATAAATAAATACATAAATAATAAAAAGGGCCAGGAATATAGTTCAGCGGCACAGTGCCTGCCTGGCAAGTGCAAGGCTGTGAGTTCAATTCCCAGTACAAAAAAAAAAAAAAATCAAAAAATGATGACACCTAACATTACTTTTAATTAAAACTTACAAAGATAATTATGGCAGCATCAATGACAATGTCCCAAATCTCAAAGATTCTACTAGACACAGTGGTAGGATATTTCAAGACTGGTTTTCATTTTTGTTATCACTGTATCAGGGAGCTCTGTGATTACTAAGGAGTTGAAATATGTTGATGATCTAAGATTTTACATATTCTGAGTATTTTAGGAGTTAGTTCAGAACCAGGAGCATATTCCTCCTTCAGAGATAAGATGAACGAAGAAACACTATTTCTTATTATTGTCCCTGGAACTAACAGAAGTATCTCGGACAATCCAATAGCTCACTCTTGGAAAAGCTTAGTGCAGTGAAGGAAGAAAGCATTCCGAACAGAGGAGTGGAAATACATGTGTGGTGTCAGAAGACTCTATTTATACCCTTGAGCATCGCCACCAAATTGAAACCATTCAGAGACTTCTTTTTGACTGAAGAATTATTTAGATTTCAGAGCAATTAAGTGGAAACTTGACTCTGAGCTGTAACAAAATTAAAACCAACACCAATGTCTGAATGAATTACTACATTTCCTTTAGCTGTAAAGCCTCAGTGTTCAAACAGAGAGAGGAAGGGAAAAATAGAAATAATTAATTTCGTTAGTGAGATTTGATTTTCATACAGGGTTCTCATTTGTTATCCACTATTGATGCTCCTCATAATTTATGCATATTGGTTGTCCAGTTATTGTTTCACTATCTTCCTAAATAATGCTCTAGGAAAAAATACCTTCCATCTTTACAGAGAAAACAAAACATAGGATATACATTACATTCTTTTTAAAAAAATCTAAGAATGTCAGCTTTCTACAAGTGGAATGGTGTCACTTGTTCACTTAACAAATATTTATCAAGCATCATCTTTGTATTAAGCATCATCTTTGTGTCAAGCATAGCACTAGGCATTGGAGGTACAGATGAATAACACAGACAAGGTCTCTATTCTCAAGGAACTTACAAACTAATAAGAAAGACAATCAAACGAACCATTTCACTACACTGTGACAGGCGTTACATAATGAACAAAGTGCTGCAGAAGCACAAATAAGGCAGCTCTACCCGAAAGTTACACCAATGGGCTTCTGCGAAGAAACGATATCCAGCCTGAGCAATTTCTTTACTTGGGATCTGAGTTAAGAGCCATTTGTTTTTAATAGAAGAAAACCTACACATAGTGACTCAGTGGTCACCGAGATTTAGGGGTAGCGATTGGGAGATGACAACTGGTAGGTAGAGTGTTTCTATCTGGGATGGCAAAAATGACCTGAGTTTGACTGGGGTTGTGGTTGTGCAACTCTGTCAGTGTGCTGGGGTCTATTGGAGCTTATATTAAAGTTTGCAAATTGTGTTTTGTGGTGGATTGACAACTTGTGGTCAACTTGCAACACCCAGCTGAACTGAGTAAGCGTGGTGCTGGGTGTGGGAGGCCCACCTGAGGATCTTTGCCAGCAGCATAAGAGGCAGAACTGGAGAGGAAGAATCGTTGAGGATGTTGGGAGCTGCGAGAAGCTGTTGGGTGCTGTTAGAAGCTGTAAGGAGCTGTTGGTTCTCTTGAAGGAGCTCATCATGTGGACGTTCCTGATGAACTCGGTTGTTTCCATGAGCTCCAAGGAGCTCAGGACCTTGTTGTTGCTGAGAATGGCTTTGGTTCACTTTGCGGGAGCTCTGGTCCTCACTTTGAGCATCACTTCCTGGCTCTAGAGGGGAAGACGGTGCACTGCCCAGTCGCCTGGAGAAGCTTGTCACGTTGGCTTTCCCGATGGGAACTTGGCTTTCCTCATCATTGGAGGAGCTTAGGACCTCACTGTTACTGTGGACGGTGGTGGTACTTTTTGGGGGAGCTCTGGTTTTAATTTTGAGCATTGCTTCCTGGCTCCAGTGCAGATCCCGCAGCCTGCTAGCTCAGATCCTTCATTCCACTGGCACAGACTTCCTAGATTCCACCACCAACCTTTGGGCCTTCCCAGCTCTGATCCATGAAACAGGCCTGCATGAGACATTGTCGTGGGCTCTAGGCCTCCAGTTAGCCTCATGGGAGGCATGGTAATGGTCTATAGGTCTTCAGCTGGACTCATGCAGGACACTACCGTGGGATCCAGGCCCTCAGCTGGATTCTTTGGTCTTTAGTGTGTGAACAGATTTCCTGCACTCTCTTTGTCTTTGAGTGACTATTATAAATAATCTTATAAAATATGCATCCTGTATTATACTGTCCCCCTTTCAAAACCCCCGAAACCATGACATGTGGCATGCAGATTTTTGGTTTAATAAAGTTGCTTTATTTTCAAAAAGAAAACCTTCACATAAATATAATATAGTACTAAGCACTGTTTTATGTGATTTATATGCCTTATTTAATTTAATTCCCACAAGATATATTCATGATAAATACCTGTTACAGTATTCCTATTATGAGGGTTAGGCTCAGAGAGATTGACTTGTCCAATGCCATTTGGTTAATAAGTAGGAAAACCAAGATTGCACAGGTCTGCTTGATTTTAAAACTCAAGATATTTCTAATATTCTTAGTTGTGTAAAAGAAAGCTTTTTACTAAAATATGGAAAAACTCCTTGACATAGCATGATCATTATCCATGGAAAGCGTTACACTGACTTACCACTAAAGACAATGGGCTGACCACAAGGAGTTGTGTCCTCTCTCTACAAATTTTATTTACAAAATTAGTAAGGAGAAAAATGTCTCTAGAAACCCAGAGTGATCAAAAGGATGAAGTCATCAACACCCATGAACCACAGACTTCAGTGGGTCTCTGGGCATGAAAGGAAATAATGGCAGCCTACAAAGCAGGGAGAAGCTGAAACCTTAACTGAGTGCAGAAGAGAACGACAGAGAAGGAACAGCTTTACCTCATAGAACTTGGGAGCCCTCAACAGCGGGGCAGAAGTGAGAGTGGAGAAGTAGAAGTGAATCCTGGGTTGGGAATGAAGTGGTTTATTGAAAGTATAGTAAAATAGCTGGGCATGGTGGTGCACATCTGTAATCCCAGCACTTAGTAGGCTGAGGCAGGAGGATTGTTGCGAGTCTGAGAACAGCCTGGGCTACAAAGTGAGTTCAAGGCCAGCCCGAACTGCATAGCGAGACCCTGTCTCAAAAAGACAAAAAAAAAAAAAAAAAAAAGAGAGAGAGAGAGAGAGAAAGAAAGTACAGTAGATGAACAAACCGTTCTGGCATAGAGATCACCTATGATCAGGTAGGTGACTGAAGAAAAGGCAGACCCAAGCAGAGGACTAAAGGCGTGTGTTTTGGGTTTTTTATTGGTTTGATTTTAGAGAAGTTGAGCATATCCAGAGACAACAGGTTTTAAGCAGCCTCTCCTGAA